TTTTATGTCTAGCCTATTAGCTGCTTGAGAAGGGGAAAGGAAAGCAGTTCGTATAATGCCAGACACAGCGATAATGCATCCTTTTTTAAAGCTTCTATAGATACACGGTAACGCTAATAATAAAGAGTTAGTAGAATTTTGATAATGACGCTTTTCCGTCAGAATTCCCAAGTGAAAGAATAAAATAAACACTCCTGACGAATACAGGCAGGTAAGAGGTTGTTGAATTTCCCATTTTTGATGAGCTGATGTCCAATGAGAATAAAATATAGGGCAAAATCACCAAAAGTAAGACTGAACTACTTCAAGTACTCATTCATTTGACTCTTACTTTAAACCTAGAGGTTCCTAGTATTGAAAATAAAACAACTTAGTGGGGAAAGGCATGTTAACTACTTAACAGAGGAAAAAAAAATTGGACCTAGTTAGTTAGGTACCCTGCAGTCTGGAGGCATTGCATGAAGACCTTATGGACCCTAAATGCTTCTTATTTTGTGCATTGCTGAAGGACAGTTTTGTTACTTCTTACTTGTATACCTTCATGTCCTAGCAAGAATATTAGATATATTTCAAAGTATATGAGATTCTCTGTTTTCCTTCTAGTTTGTTTTTATGTCATATCATACGTTACAGAATAAAAGTATGTAAACACTGTAGCTAAAAAGATTGTGCTAAAATCTTCTCTGAACGTCTGCAGCACAATTTGTCTTCAGGAAATGCTCAATTCAGCTGTGTAGCATATCTAACGAAACACATACTGTCTGTCACTGGGACACAGAAAATTGTGGGTTTTGCTTTCTTACAAGTCAGCTTTAGTCATCTCCTATGAGAGACTGAAATACGGCTAGATGACTTATGTAGAAGCAAAACCTGTGATTTGAGGTTCTGTTGGTAAGGCTAATTGACAGCTCTTTTTGTCAAGATCACTTACTGATATACAGTCCTTCCATAAGCAGGTCAGAAGCTTGAGATGCTTGTATCCAGCAACCAACTTAAAAAGACATGGTTCATATTTTTCCCTTTCTCATTCAAGGCGGAATTGGATGCTAAGTTTTAGCTTCTGGAACATAACCCAGAGGGGATGCACGTGCCTTGTCTGAGTTTCATCACTTCTCCGTGATGTGGTAGAAAGTGAGGGTTTTTGTTTTTGTTTTTTTTCCTGTTTGCTTTTTTAATCAATAACTTTCATGGAAGTTGCTGTTTAGCAAGTTATGAGTTCCTTCCAGGTTGGAGTAATACACAAGTTTTAGGCCTGTTGTTTTGTGCAGACGTAAAACAATCTGACATTGTCTCTTCCTTGCTTACTTGTACCCTCTGCGTAGATTTCTTGGTGTGCTTAGGCATAGAGCCTCCAGGTATCTTTATTGTTTCACTAATGGGTAAGTTGAATAAGAAATGGTTCTAATGTATTTTATTGTTCTTTCTTCCTGTGAATGGTGTCACCATTTTTCCCTCTGATTGACTTCATCTTCATCACTAAAAATACTAGCTATTTCATTTTGAAAGGGCCAAACTTCATGTCATTCACCCATAGAAGTCAGGCTTAGGTGAGCTTTGCCCTTACTGCCTGGCACTAGCAGGAAACGTCTATTCCAAATAGCATCTCTTTAGCCTTAGAGTGTCAGTATTATGAAATAAGAGACTAAGTGCTGTCTATAAGCATCAGATCAAGTTAATTATCCTGTGTGCACATGGGTGAAGATGGGGAAGTGTTTTTTTAACCCCCACCCACTCACCCTCATATGTGAAATGTGCTCTTTTAAAGAATGCTTACGTAAAGAATTCTTACACACGTTTTTAGGAGTGCCCTGGTTCAGGAGAAAATTTCACCCACCGCTAATAGATTTTTTTTTTTTTTCCTGTTCTTAACACCTTGAGTTTCTACTTTTTTTTTTTTTTCTTCCAACTGTAGCTAATGCTTGAAACAAAAAACTTCCTCAGCGGGAAAAAAATACCTGTCTGTCCTTTGTAGTTCCCAACATCAGCATTACATAAGTAAATGAAGAAAATACAGCTTCCTTCTTCCACTCCCACGTGCTTTAGCCCACTGTTTATGAAGGGACAGGGCACGACTCCCCCTTCCCTGAAGGAAAAAACTCGCCAAACACAAACCCACAAGGAGATCCTTTATTTTCTCTCTGAGGCCTGGCCGTGCTTCCTTCCTGCCTTCTCCCCACATTCACGCACGCAACCCACAACTCCTCTCCTATTTCAGCGTGAAAGGAGCAGAAGCAGGGAAGAACAGTTTATGCAAGCCAGCACGTCTCCTTTGAGCTCTCAGCAGTGTCTCACAATGTTGTTCTGTGCTTATTTCAGAGCATGGGTGGTCTTTTCTGCTGAATTTTATCTTTCCATGCTACAAGTCTTAGTTCATTAGGGGAAGTTTAAAAGACTGTCATAGTTCTAGAGAAGAGAATGTGTTTGGCAGGGATATTATGGATCATAATCATATAAAAATCCAATCAAGCAATTTTCTTGATTGATTTTGGGATGAGATGCACAGGCTTGAGTGGAGTTAATTGCACCTCTATAATTTCTTAATTTAAATTTTAGGCATCTGACTGCCCTACCACTCCCACTTCTTTTAGTAGATTTATTTTTTCCACTTAATGAACTACCGTATAAAGACTTTTCTAAGTAAATGCTCTCTCAGTATTGATATACTTTTTGTTAAATATATATCTTCCAGTGATATATTATTAATACTGTAATACCTATTTGCACCTCTGTTATGGTCTAATGATAAATAGGTATTCTCATTTTTCATTGCATTTACTAATGGTAGGTTATTTAACTCTGTTACTCTTATACTAAGCCTGCCTTAGCATTTTCATTTATAATAGAAAGTTATACTCCTAGACTGTACTGGTTAAATTTTGTTCTTTTAGAATAATTCTAGAGATAAATGTTGCCTACAAGTGTTTCTCAACTCTTTGAAGGAAACAGAAAATAACTCTTTTTATATTGACAGTAGATTCATAGTCCACGTGTGCTGGGTCAAGAGCAGTCGTAAGAAATTAAGTCTCTGATCCAAAAAGTTTACACCTACGTAAGGAGTAAGCCCAATACCTAGCGACGTTAATGGGAAGTTTCCATATATTGCTGTGAGCCTTGGGTTATAGTTTTAATTAAAAGTGCTTTTGACCCTCCTCTTGAAGAGCTAATAATAGTTACTGTGGGTTTTAGGAAACAAGACAAAAATACCTTATATGAGTTTTTTGGGCAGAAATGTAATTCAATGAAGCTACTAGGCTGAGCTAGTCACAGCACATGTTAAGAATACAGCTGAGAAGACAGTTACTGATTGTCTGCACCATCCGATTCATGACACAGTTATCAAGCTTACTTGTTCTATTGAAGATGGAAAGTCAGGTTGCTGTGATTGTTATTCATCTTAAACATTTAGACCATGTTTTAACTTTGTCCCATGGGACTTGGCCTGTTCAGGAAAAATATGCTTCAGTAAACCAATCCATTAACTTAGTTTTGTTGAGTAAGGCCCAACTGTAATTATTGCCAATTTTATAGAGGTTTAAAAGGGTTTTGAATCAGGACTTGAAATGTGAATCATTGCTATCAGGGAAGAAAAAGGCTGGCTGGCAGAAAAAAATGAACCGTGATCTAGAACAAAGGTTGACTTACTGGTACTTGTAATTAACTCTCCCTTCCACATAAAGATTAAGGCTTACTCCTGGGTTAATACTACAGAGAAGTGGTGTTGCAGAAGTAGAAAGGTTTTAATGCTGCTGTTGGTCAAGCAGGTAGACTTTCTTGAAAACCGTAGGAGATGTATAGGTATTAAATGAGCCAGAACCTGAGCACTGTGTAGGATTTCTTCAATAATTTCCAGGGCAGGAACTCAATGTATAATGAGTAAGAAAGTACTTAACTTTGCAGTGAAAACAAAAACGTGACATGAGACCCAAATAACAAAAGCAGAATGGCAGCTATCCAATGGTGTTATCATACTTGATCCTAAGCTTGCTGTTACCAGATATGCTGCGTGCTGACAGAACTTGATTAGAAAATGATATTAAGAAAAATCCCCCAACCCTCAGCATTTTGATAGCAGCATGTTATATATTTTGGGATTATTCCAATGAAAGCCCTTTTAAACCAGGATCGCTTACTACATTTTCTGCTGTGGTGGATTAGCAAGTATTAAGGAGAATTTCTCAGAGATTTTCTTTATTATTAATTTGGCTGTCTGTTTCCTTTAAATATAAAGGATAGGTTCTTTAGCGGCTGCACAAAGTGATGTGTAGGTGAAATAAGACTGAAATTTGTACAAAGTTAACAGCGAAAATGTCATGAAAGCTTTGAATTACATCAACTCCTTGGCTTTTGAATTCTCTCAAAGAGCAGAGCAGTGTGAAGTCGATCGTTTTGGCAAAATGGAAGGTGGGGGAGTGTTGTGGGGGTTATGTGTACTTACAACAGGAGTTCTAGCTGAAAGAGTAATATTCCTCCTCTTTCTAATAGCAGAAGAAAATGGAAAGTTTTCTATGGTATGCTTAGCTGAATTCTTTTGTTCTTACTCTGAAGGGTAGGTGGTAGAAGAATTTGACTGCAAAAAATGAAGTTTAAAAACAACCTGCTTTTACTGGGGAGCTTTACTTTGTGTCTGTCCCAGGTTTTCCATTGTTTGAATGGATCATATTACCCCTGGGAAACAGAATGTTTTTTCAAGTTTTAGAAAGCTGTGAAAGTATGTAATGAGAGAATTGAATGGTGTGAACCACTACTGAACACTTTGGGACTTCTTATTTCTTTAATTGCAGCAGCAGCTCTTTTGACAGTAGCTTTTGTGAATACACAGGAGGCTGTATTGATCATTCCACCTCCAGCCATTAATCCCCAGCCCCCAAATTCATCTCTTTCCTTGTCTCCCTGAGTCAGAATGTTTTGTAAGAAATCAGGACCAAGTTTGTGAAATATTAACTAGCCATTACTTGAACTATGGTGATTTAAAAACTACCTGGTTTACCATTTATTTTCAGCTGCCCTCTCAATTCTCAACGAGGTTTCCTTTCTGTGTGGTATCAAACGCTGAGTGGCCAAGATCTCCAGAATGCAGGCGAAAAGGTGAGAATAGCTCCCTTTTTCTTCCCCCAATTTATTCCTCATAAAGTAAAAGAGAAAATTAGGCTAAGGGCACTCTGGTGCATGTTTGCTCAGGTATGCTTCTGATGGGAGGTGCTGTCATCATTGGATTGTCTGCTGCTATTTGGTTCATATTGGTAGGGTGATGGTACGAGGGAATGGGGCAGGGCTCCCTTTATCTCTTCTTTCCATGTGCACCGAAAGCATGAGAATATAGGAAGGGTGAAGAGAAAAGCTGACGTGGAAAGTGAGGAAAGGGTGAAGTTGATGAATTCTGTGCTGACAATGTTAAAAAAAAAAAAAAAAGAAAGAAAAAGAAAAGAAAAAAATGATGGATTAAGTGGGGGATTAGAACAGGTAGAAAAATAAGAGAAATGGGATGGTGAGAAGGTACTTCAAGGTGTGTCTGCCTATCATTTGCTGAGAATTGCCTGCTCTCCTGTCTGGAAGAATATTTACAAACAAGAAACTATAGAGCTGGTTAAACAGCTCTATAGTTACAGTTAAACAGTCAGGCTTCTGGGAGCTTGTACAAATCCACTCTTTTATGTTCTTTCATCCATACAAAATATTTTGCCACTCATAAAAACTGACAATATGAAAGGAGAAAGAAATAAAACAAATATATACCTGCAGGTGAGAGATGCTTTATAGTGGGAAGGGAGCAAAGAGTAGGAAATAGTTTAGCAACCTATTTGTACTCATCAGTGAAGGAAGAGCTTTTGCAACAATGAGACATTCAGTCTAGGGGTCTGTAAACTAGTGGTAGGAGGAATATTGAGAGCTTGCACTGGAAACCCTCTTTCTTGTTATTAAGATGAATCATTCTCCATTATTTTTGGTGTATGCATTATTAATAAACATTCCTGTTATCATTTAAGGCCTTCTAAAGAAAAACTGAAATGAATTTTCATCTATGGAGCTGTGACTCATTTCCACCTGAGATGACTGTAACGCAGACCAAGTCTGTATACATTCCAAATGGTTCCTAGGATGTAACTGTATACACTATTTGATAAATGACAAATACCTAACAGCAGAGCGAAGCAGTATGCTTTCAGAAGATTTAATTTGCTTTGACATTTGAACTTCCATGAGAATATTTTAAAACTAAATAGGTTGATTTGGCACAACTGAGAAATGAAAACAGTCAGGTGTGGAGAAAGAAACAGAAGGGACAAGAACTCGAAACACATCACCCCAAAACAAATCTCTATTGTTATTTTAACATACTTGCTAAGGAAAATACTCTTAGCTTTTACTTTGACTGAGGAGCGCTTTAGTTAGCTTAATGCTGTCATGCAGCCAGGTCACTGACCATCATCAACCTATCGGGGGAAAAATTGTAGACAATTCAGTTATAAAATAGACATTTCCATTCAGCACAAACTGATGAAACTAGACTTTAAAATGATCCAGTATGAGGAAATAACCCTGGTGAGTTTAACCAGGAAACTGTGAAGAGATATTTTGGCTGAGAACACTCTGAAATAGGTTCTCAGTAGGTCTCACAGAAGGAAGATTTCAAAAATACACAGCCTGGCCTGTTTTCTTATGCCAGTTATAGACTGGCAGAACATTACTTGAGTTCCTGGAGTAAAAACTTTTATAATAGTGTCAATAGGAGATGATGTGTTCATAATAACCATACCTACACAGAATACTACGTTCTCCTACTTGGTATGTGTTTAGATGCGTTGATCTCCCAGCTTTCACAACTTTTATGAGCTCAGGGCCTGATCCTTGATATCTGCAGGCTTATAGTTGTAGTGACATGAAGGCATTGTCTTAACCACATTTTAATTCAGAGTATACGGAAGAAAGCTTGTTACAGAGTCTCTTTTTTTTTTTTTTTTATAGCATCAGGTTTATAACAGATATAGACCTATAATTTGTATAACTGAAATGTCATATCCATGTTGATATAATCTTGAGTGTATACATTGTATTTAAACTGTCTGAATTTCTTTCTAGAATATGCCAGATTTCAGTTATGCCAGACTATGCTTTTGGGAAAGAAGATAATGAAGCTTTAGGGTAAATAATTTAATCAAGTTGGAGGGAGATGTGAAATAAGAGTAGAAAGGAGGTATCTGTTTGTTTTGGAGTAAATCTGGAGACGCACTGTTCCGAAGAAATCTTCTGTAGTATGCTGACCTTTTGGGGAGGAAAGCGTACTGAGACTGCCACTTTCCATGTCTTTTACTGCTATACAAACGTAAAGGGAAGAAACTATCTTTGGAATAGATGATAAATTCAAATATCAACTCAGTTTCTCATTTCATCTCTGAAATAAGTTGGCTTATCATTTCAGTACCGCATTTTTTCTTAAAGGACAGCTCTATTTTAGTAACGGTAAGCATGGAAGGCAGTGGCCAACAGCAATGATAATTGTAATCTTTTTTAATGGGAACGTGCTCAAATAAAGAAAGGGGGAAATGTAGTTTCTGGATGCATGTTTCACGAAAGAAGGGAAAGCAATTTGCTAACGTAGTTAAGAAAGCCCATAAAATTTACTGTTGTGTTTCATGATGAGAAGAACAAGGAGCCTCAATAAGGTGAGACTGTAAGAGGTTAGTTAAAAAGGGAAGATGTCAAGCAAAGATACAAGACAGCCAGAGCTGTTTCTCAGGACTCATCTTGGGATCAATCCCATTTACTATTTGCATTGCTAAGGATGATGCATGCTTAATAAATTTGTCTATGATGCACATTTGGGAAGTACTTACAGATAGAAGATGCAGATCTCCACCTAAAGAGTTGTCAGTGTTAATACTACAGGGGTGCAGGATTTTTGTGGACTAGAAAAATAAGTAAGTGAGCCTACTATGAAAAATCATGCTTTTAGTAACTGATAAAAATAAATTTGGACTGTAATTTGTGCTTACCAAGTGGCATAAAATTTGAAAATGGAGGGCAAAACTCGTTTATCTAACATTGTAAGCTGATATGACGTTGACAAGAAAAGTGCAAGACTATAAAAGAAGTAGAAAATAAAAAACTGTTAAGTTAAAGATGAGTTATTGATTTACAAAGATTAAGGCTGTAATGAGCTATAACACTGTAATTTCCATCGTACGTTTAAGGATGCATATCTGCATCTGTGAAAGCAAACTCTGCTGTATTATCAATAATTATGTTGAAAAAAAGAGAAAGTTCACTCCAAATTCATGCATCTTTGGCACAATCGGTGTTGCCTGCCAGTGGCTGACAGGGGTAATAAAGACTGGGTGGGCTTACGTGAACCGTATTGTTATAAAACTTGACAGCTCCTTTCAAGTAACAACGGCATTAATAATTAAGGCATTGAACTTGCACAGAGAAAAATACTTTTAAATACTGTTATCCTTATTTAGCAGTTGAGGATATGGATAGCATGCAGAGAGTGCTTACAAACAAACTTCCCAAAAATTAGCTTAGCTGCTCTTTTAAGAGCGTGTAACATCTCTTTAAGAGCGTGTTACATCTCTGTGTAACATCACATAGAAACATAACAGCAATGTAGCACTTCGGACAGTTGGTTGGTTTTGGCAGTTTTTAGTTATTAAAGCATGATTGTTACAAATACACAGCCTTAGAAAGTACTGCGAGCTGAACGGCATGCCAAATTAACTTGTTTTCTGCTACTCTCTGGTAGTCAGGTGGTACCAAATGTAGAACCTCCTTATAAATTCCTGTTCCAGCTTGCAATATACCAGCTGTTAACAGAGCATAAGTTCTACTTAATTTATCAACATGTGACTGTTGCAACTGATTGACATGCTAAGACTTGTTGCCATTAGATGAGAACAGCAAAACGCAGACGACTTGAGCCTAGAAGGATCTCGTTTCTTCCACTGTCTCACCTTCCATTCTCTGTCTCTTTCAGCATTAGGTCTGGCTCCATCCAGGACCAATTCACAGCCTTTTGTTTTTCCAGTCAAATCCATAGAAGATGAGGTAGAAGTATGGCTGAAAAACGTACCTGGTGTGCACCACCCCTACCCCGTTCATTCTTGCACAAACGCTCAGCAAGTACAATGCCAGCGTTCTTGGTCCCTTCTTCCTGGCTGTGATGGGTGAAATAAGCTGCTAGGATGTGCAGAGGCTACCTGAGCCTGATTGATTGGAAAGACTGAGGAGAGAGGAAGAGGGTGAGCGCAGACACCAGGTACTCTGGCCTTCTATTAGAGCTTCTTCTGGGCTCACTGTTCAGGAGTAACTGAGTGAAATCTAACAGACAGGGTTACTCGGCAGGCAGAATAGTGGATCCAATAGCTTCCTTCCGTCTTAAATGCTGTGAATTGAACTGGGGGAAAAAAGAGCATGATGCTGTTCAGGCACATACTTTTAAAGCAAATCTGTAAGGGGCTCAAGAGAGATCAAGGGAGAGTTGGTTGCCTCACTCTGTTCCATTTATACAAGGATATATTTATAAGGTGGTAGTTCTATTGTATGTATTTATACATGAGAAAATCTCTCTTCCCAACTGACAGAACAGGATAATAGGATTACAGAAGCTAAAAGGTAAGCCACTTCGACTTTAAACAGTCTTCTCATGCTAATCCTGATAATCAGGGGAAAATGTGATGGACTAAGGTAGTAATATCCATGCCTCAGAAAAATGGTTATTCCCATTGCTGCATTCCTTCCTGGGAACAGTCTAAGTCAGTCTTGCATTATGTGAGACATGCCAGACTGAAGACTAATGGGCACATTCTACTTATATTGTTGTACTTTCTGCTTAGGTTAATTGAGAATTTTTCTCTTCCTCAAAACACATAGTTAGATGTGATTGGAGATAAGCCTTCTCCTTCTTTGATGCCTTACTAGAAATAACTTTGTGGCCTTTCCAATTTAACTGAAAGATGAATTGGAAAACTTATGTAAGGAGAAAACTGTGCGATTCTTCAAGGTGGTTTTTTTTAATATGAAGAGATTTGTCTGAAATTTTGAAGTTTTGTTCAACTCTTCTAATATTATAAAACTTCCCAGACTACCCTTGTTAGTAACCAGTTAACAATAATTTTCCCTGAGCAAACCAAGAAACACAATATATGCTTTGTAGTTTCCACATGCCAGATTATACTCTTGATGAGAGGAGGAATGATGCCAACTTACTCGCATACAAAAAGGCAGTCTTAGGTCTAAGATGTAGTTACAGCATTATGCTTAGAAAAACTGCTTTTCAGCATAGCTCTTTTTATAAAGTAGTTTAAAAAAAAAAAAAACTGCAGAAATTTTGGTTTATTGCACCTGTCATGTTGTCGTCTTTTAAAAACCATAATTTAACTAGCATGCCATAAGGGAGCCATTTTTATGAAGCTCCTTTCTTTTCCCTGCTTCGGACACTGGAAAAGATAAATGGTGCTGTCCTTCCAAGCATAGACTCTTTTCAAAAAGAATGGAGATTCTGCTGGATTTTGTGGGGTGGTTTTTCTTCCCCTCCTCCCCCCCCCAAATCTAGGAACTTAGTTTGTAGGAATTGAAAAATTACTCTGATCAGTTTCATAAACCAAGTGTTGAAGGCTATAAAGGAAAACAGAAACCTTTTGTACTGATTTTCATTCTAAGTTTGTACAGTTGCACAGTTCAGATTAAAGCTGGCAAGCTTAAGACTGACTAGTGATTAAAGGTGCTAAAAGAGTAAGACCATAAGAAAAGCATTGAGAACTAGGATTAAGTAAGTAAGTGATGTAAAAATGCAAAGCAGCTATCCTGCTATTTGAAGTAATGCACAGGTCCATCTTAAACCACAACCACTGCAAAAGTAAACAGTGCCACTGTTTAGTGAGTTGCTAGTGCTCCTGAAGTCATTTGTAGATTTTGTATAAGGGTTGTTTGTTTCTTTTCAGTAAGATTTACAGTTTGTGGACCAGAGTTACTGTTCTGTATTAATGTGGCAAAAATACAGTTTTAAAGAATATTTTGAAAACCACTGGAACCAGACATGCTTGTTAACTAACTATTTAATAACTAACTGATCCATAATCAGCTGTAGAACTGCAAGCAATATTAAAAAAAAAAAGCGCAAGCAGAATTTGTTGCACTTCATAACTCTCAATGCAATACTGAACTAAAAAAATAAAAAAAATTGTTGGCTTGCTTTTCGATGTAGTGGCTCGTTCAGTATTTAGAACTGTTGCCAAATGAGTCTGCTATTTAATTGTAGCCTCTTGCTGGAGTTGGAGCAATGCTGCAGTCTCTCAGACAAGACTCTTCTGCACACTACAGTATGCACCCAACAGTTACTATTATGTATTTCTTCTGTGGGTTTTTTTTTTTCCCCTCTGTTTTACTCCTGTATCTCTGTCACCCTTTGAGTGCTAAATATATTACAGCAAGGAAGACCATTAGGACTACTATTTTAAGTAAGTATTAGCCAAAAGTTTTCCAACCTTATTCATTCTCTGCACTATTTGGCAAGAGATTCTTTAGTGGCTTAAAATTCTCCTTCAAAAACAATGCTTTTACCATTTTGGTTTGAGAAGGATTGATTCTGTGATTTCAGGGCAGGTTCTGCATACCAGGGAAGTATTAACCATCTTAGACAACGGCCTAAGCTCTTTCAACTACGCGTGTTGCCCAGCTTCATTCCATCACTTTTGACATTAATTTTGCCCTCTATGAGTAATTTAAATAACACACACTTAATATCAGTATGGAAACCAATTATTGAAGATTGCGTTGTAATTAGTCATTATTAGTTTTATTATCAGAATGTTAAGGACCAATTCTAAAGCTTGAACATATTTTGCTCTGATAAAATAAAACAGGTCTTTTAATGATCTGTTCAAGCGGGTTCATCCAGTTACACATTAAAGGTTGCCACTAAAGTCAATGACAGCCTGGGTGTGTAACTTTAAAGGCATTTTTATTGACAGTTTTTACAAGCGTTTGCTTTTTATTACCTTTACCAAAATAAAGCATTTAGCAAACACTGTTTTCACACATTTAGGAGATAAATAAATGCATCTTGAATTCTTTCATGCATTGATAGCTTATTTAATACAAATTTTTTCTTCATAGCCTTGATGGTAATTTTAAATACAGCTTGCTAGCTCCCCCCCACCTTTTAAAACACATTTTTATGTTGTTAACCATGTATTTCCCTTGTTAACTTATAAATGTTTAAACAATTGGGAAACTGCAGTCGTATTTATTGCTAGATATAAAGTCATTCTGTTAGAGTGAAACCCACGTAGCAAGTTATATGCTGGCAAACTAAAACCAAAACAACTTGTGTATGCTATCAATGGCATTGATACAGAAAATATTTTAGGAGTAACTTAACATTCACCTGTTTTGTCTCTAGAGTCCAAACCCAAAAAACATTCTAGGTTTCTGACTTCCACACTCTTAGGTGCACTAAACAGTTTAGAAACTCCAAGACAGTTTCTAAATTTCATTTAGAATTAACAGCAACTCTCTTGTAATTACAAATAAATAGAGGTATAAAGACAACGTCTCGTACTGCATTTATCTCTAAGTTACCAAATATGTTAAATGTATAATTAAAGATCATAAGTACAATCCCATTCAATTTAACCAAATAACACAGCACTGATTTCATGTGCTGTGAGTATCATAGTTGAGAAAGAAGAAATTAGGTGGCACAGTGTCTTTAATGGCACTTCTTTCAGCAAAGGATGGTATGCATTTGTATTACTAGCCAGGGTTGCTTTTCAAAACAGAATTTTTAATATTGCATGCAAAATACATAAAACACTAAAGCAACAATTCCTGTGCTGGGTTTCAAGCTTTAGCTAATGGTACAGGGATCATCATGGCTTGGTTTCATTTCCCCTTCCAGCAATAAAGCGATCACAGCCTTACTCAAGTAGCTGCATGTTCCCTTCTTTCCTATTGGAGGAGTGTTGTAAAATGCAGTGATGTCATCCTACAGAGGAAAAAAATGGCTCCATTAGTGTTGCTTATATAAGGCTAAAGGTGAAGAGGAGCTAAATTACAGATAAGTTAGAAATGCAAATTTGTTTTTCATATTCTAATAGTGCGGTATATTTCTGCTTGATTTTCAGAAAAATTCAGAATGTACTTATCCAAACTTATGCAAAAATCAGATTAATAAAATACTGCATATATTCCTTTACTGAATGTTCTGCACAAACATCTTCTTAATATTTGTAAAATGCGTTGGACGAGAGAGAACAAGTACTCTCGTAAAACATGTAGACAGATGATTGCCATGTGGTACCTTACTGTGCTACCAAAATATGATTGTATGGCCAGGTCCTTGTGTGCAACAGGTCGACATACTGACTAAAGATCTATTTCAAAACAAAACAAAAAACTCACCAAACCCAAGAAATCAAACCACAGGCAGCAAATCAACTTTTTTCATTAATTAGATAAGATAACAAAATAAGTTTCCTTCACCAAACAACTGTTGTGCCCAGTTAGTGATATTATGAAATATGTTCTCAAATTATATATTGGCTGTTATCATAAAGGTTCAAATGTTTAATTCGGAAAATTGGTTACTTCCCATTTACTTTACTAAGGATAAACTGTATGATGAAAATACTAGACTTTGTTTTAAGGAGTATTTGAAGTTATTGGAGCAAACATTTTGACATTTATTACAACATGGTAACAGGGAAATAACAGTAAGTTCAAATTACAAGTCAGTTTAACAGTTTAACAGAAAAATGTAGTTCAGACAGTTTTGGTTTTTGTTTTCAGTTTGTTAGGAAAAGTTGAAACAGAACAACATCAGGACAATGTTAAATAGGCTACAGTTAACTGCCGGTGGGCAGATATCTAGGAACAGAGGAGAACCAGATTCCAAAATCATGGCCTGCTAAAACTTTAAATGCATGTTGTTGGTTGGAAAGTCAAATTTCTATCTTAAACATACTATTTACAACTCTAAATTGGGGTTCTTCTTTCTAACAGACAAAAAGTATCATTCTAACTAGGATTTAAGGTAGGATTTACATACTGTTTTTTTCGGTAGAACTGCTTCTGTTCATTCACATGTGATATGCTCTTGCCAAACAGCGAGACAAAATCACCACAGGAAGACTTAAAAAATTGTCGCCTAGATAGTGTCATCAGGGAAAGCCTTCTTTTGTAAGAGCTGGGCTTAGGAAAAATAAAAATCTATCACTTACATGGAGGCTAGGACAGCACCAGTAAAAATGAGTCTTTGTGTGGGATTTCTCTTTCAGTTTATAGCCACAAGGCCACCTTGTCTCTGTAGCATGTACTGTGCATACTGGCAGTTAATAGCCACTTGTGTGGCTGAGATACATCTAGTTCTGCTATGGCTGCAATCACAGAATCATTACCCTCTAAAATGGGCAGGCCAAAAGGGTCCTAACTTAAAGAAAATTGTGTCCTTAAAAAAAAAAAAAAAAAAAAAAAAAAAAGATCTTCCACACAGTGATGTATTGCTAGGGCTGGATATCTGGATTTCTTTCAAATCTCATTACAAAAAAGTAGTGGCAAGAAAGTGAACCTTAAAACTTTAGAACGAATGCTTGAGGAGCACATCCTTCCACATCTTAGAAATGAGCTAAATTCAACTACAGGAAGTGCTGTTGCCTATTAGTATGGTACTCCACTATCGCTAATCTAATAACGTCTGCTCTATGATTATGGAGTCTATGAATTGATACATTATTCAGAGCCAGAGTGGCTATCTGTGAATATATCATGCACAGTGCACTGCCAGACTGAACCAGTAAGATCCTGCTCAGGAGCAGAAGGATGTGTCCCACTGTTTTACCCATATTTCCTACTTCAACCATCCCCCCAAAACCTGGCTTTATTACAGATTTCCAGAGCTTTAAGGCACCAAAACTGAGACTATTTAGAGGTCTTTGAAGAATGAAACCTAAAATCCTAGTGAAATAAATCTTAAAAGCTACTTAATGATTAAGTTTCATTCATTTTGTTTTTAAACCTTAGAGATTAAAAGCTTTCTAGGTTATAAATACAGCTCTAGCACACACACAAATCAATAGCTAAGAACACTTTCAGGTTTGCATTTAAAGTTCTTACAGAAAGTATTGTCCATAGGAGTTCTTTGGTTACTAAGTTTTTCTGAGTATCTGTGTACTTAAGGTCCAAAGTCCACACTTACTTGCTGAACTTAAGGTTTTTCTTTCTTAAAAGTTTTCATGACTTTCAACTCTTCTCTGCTCTATTTTTACCACTGCAATTAACTCTTTCCATTTTGAATTAATAGTCAAGCTATCTCACCTTTACCCAGACACTCATTTTAGAGCCAGGTAATATTAAGTGGTCTCCTTACCTCACTGGTTTGAATTCACAACTCGGCAAATAAGTGCGCGTTCTACCTCTGCTTATAGGCTCTACACAGGCTTCTGGTTATGCAGCTCTTAAGATATGTTCATTTATTATTGGTGTTCCATTCTGAACTCCTATCAATTAGGTTTTATTCTGAACTTCAAAGAACTTTAACAGTTATAACCAACTTCAGGTAGAATGGTAAATTCTGTAAGACAGAAATGTTTTACTCACTTGTATTTCACCTCCCTTTGGCCTGTTCTGATCTCTCTGAAAGTCATGAAACGCTTCTTTCACCACTTTGTCCAAGTCCACTTTATCATGGAATCCTAGTTCAGGGTTTCTCTCCAAAATAACAGATATGACCATCAACAACTAGAAGGGGAGGAAAAAAAACCTAAGACCTTAAATTTGATTTGTTAAAATTTGGGTTACATAAAAAAGCATTGTGAATAACTGCATATGCTTGATTTAAGCAGGAAGCAATTTAATAATGGCACTGGTAATAGTGTACAGATAATAGAATTCTGACTTTGATAAAAGAATCACTGAAAAAGCAGGCTTTTATGAAAGGTTACAATTTCTAGGGACTGCCTATTTAAGGACACTGAGCAAGTGATTGATGATGTTAACATCTAACTTTGTTGGGAGTCAGGAAGTTATTTTCCACTTTATTTAGTTCTCTGCGTGGCTTCACAAAGGCTGGTGCTCAGCCAAAAGAGGGGGGTGAAAAGAAGCTGAACCTCTGTGCTAAGTCTACAGAAAATAAAATGAGTAGATACAGGAAGTCCCACTTTAAGAGTATCTAGATTTTATAACTAAAGGAGATTTAAAATAGGAAGATGAACATCATGAGTGACTTTTCATAGCAACTAGAAACAGGTGGTAGAGTCTATATTGGTAATCT